TGTTTCCCAAGTATAGCCCTCGCCTCTACGCCTTCGAGTTCAAGGAGCACTGATTTCAACATATTTAATAAATTATTTATTATTGGACCTTTCATTCCTTAGCCCAAAGCACTTCTTATACTGTGATCTTCATGGAGAGAAAACATAGTTTAGCTTCTCTTTAAGCCCCTTGTCCCCTCCCCCATTCTTGCATCTAACAGGTCAACCAAACTGATGGGCTTTATTATTAAAATCAAGACAATCTGTCAAACTGTTTGTCCTAATGTCTGGAATTCCCTCCTTAAACCTCTGTCTTTCTCTTTTTTTTTTAAGGTAGTGCTTTAATATTAATTCTTTAACTTGTCTTTAATTTTTTTTCTCACTCTAACCAAGTTTTTAATTCCTAAATAAATTTCAACAGTTTGGTGTTAATTTTTGTTTCATTATGCTTTTGTGAAATGCCATGGGATGATTGGCTTCTTTAAGAACTGTTGATCAGGTGCAACTTCTAAATACAAGAGAGAAATAGAACTGATTTTGTGAATTCAGGACATCCTAAAGTGCCTCCTAGCAAGCAAAGTCATTTTAAACTGTAGTCGCTGAATTGTGATGCCAAAAAGTCTGGCAATCCTTTTACACAACAAGCCTCATGCACAGCAATCAGTTAAATGATCATATAATCCATGTTTTTGGTGGTGTAAATGTTGCCTTAGAAACCAAATACCCTTCTGCTCTTCAAAGTGTGCCATGTGCGCATTAATATTGATATGATGGGCAGACTGAACCTCAACTTAAAGTCAATTCAAAACTCATCACCTCAAGTACTCCACTGGAGTGTCCGCGTAAGACTGTACTTCAATGTAGAATTTGAATCTACTACAGCCTTTTGATTCAAAGGCCAGACCCAGCAGTGGGACTAACTACAGTAGCCATCCTACAAAAAGTACATGCTGAATCCAATCTGTACTCCTGGTTCTGGGGACATTGAAGAAATAGCTTGGAGGTCTTACAGACTTCTAAGCGTTTTGTAAATAAACTTTAATATCATACTGAAGTTATTGTCCCTGATAGCAACCAAATAATCAGATTATATTGTGTTAGAGGTATAGTTTTTGCAATGCTTTATTCCAGAGTGCAGGTATTAGCTGCCAAGTTAGAATGTTGGATATAACAAGCTGTAGAGCTAGATGAACACAGCAGGCCAAGCAGCATCAGAATGTCGCTTCTGTATTGTTGCAGACAGCAATGGCAGTTTAATTTGAGGAAAAAGAGAGGGTTGCATTTATTTAGTGCCATTCATGACTGCCAGACGTCTCAAAACGCTTACTATTTCAAATACTTATGGAATGTAGTTACTGTTGGAGGAAGTATAGCAGCCAATTTGCACACAGCAAATTCCCATAAAGATGTGATACTGTAGGAGCAAATTGCTGCAGATGCTGGAATCTGTACAGAAAATAACAAATTGCTGGAGAACGCAGACGGGTCAGGCAGCATCCAAGGAGAGACAATAAGCTAACATTTCGAGTCTAGATGACTCTTCATCAGAGCTTACTTGATAATCTGCTTTTGTCATGATTAAGGAATACATATTGATCAACTCCACTTCTACTACTACTTTGAAATACGTTCTTTTGCATCGGATGCCTGAAAGTGCAGACAGGACACCGTTTAGCATCTTTTCCAAAAACGGCACCTCCAATAATGCAGTACTGACTCAGGTACTGCACTGGAGTGTGTCGGCCTTGATGTTTGTACTCCAATCCTGGATTGGGATTTGAAACTGAATCCTTGTGACTCTGAGGCAAAGTGCTACCCAACTGGGCCACGGCTAACACCTGCCTGCGATTGCTGAAGCAGGGTTTGGTTGCTATCCAGTTTGTTGTTAAAGAGAATAATCTGTCCTGCATGTTTTTTGAGTATATAAACTGATCCATGTGGTATTTTGTGAGGTGAAAGTACGCAGCCACAATTAACTGTGATTTGTTACACGAGGCATTAGATACTTTATTTACAATTGTACAAGACCTAAAAACAAAAGCCCGGAGAAAGAGAAAACTGTTCCTATTCTTCAATGTCAAATCCTTTTTGCCTTTTTGTATTATATTTATATATTTATATTTATATTTAGTAACGTCTAAAGAAACTCCAGTGAACTTAAAATTGTTTACTTCTGTGTATTTCATACAATGGTTTTAAGTTTGTAAATCCAAGTGTTCATTAAATTGTAGTTATAATCGCATAGTTGAAACTTTAGCATCCAATTACATAGTCACATGACAGTTACGTGACAGTAACGTAATCTGATAATTTATTCAAGATAGACCTAAATTCTAATGCCCATCTCAACAAAGCTAAAATATTTATGTTTATTGTTAATATATACCAGCTATGATACATCAAATTTCGGAATGAATCACATGGATGGTGCACTCTGGTTTATATGCATATGTTGTTTGGATCTAAGCAAAGAAACTGTGCTGAATGAATCAGTTCCATTTTGAGCAAGATGGTTTAGCTCTGAATTATTTTATTTCAGGTGAAGTACAGAAGCTTAGTCTTGAACTAAAAGACTGTTGATCTTGTTTCACGAGGATTTTTTGCTGAAAGGATATATTTTGAGTCTTCGTGTGCCTTACCCAAAATCTACCAAAGAGGTAAGAGAGACTGATACCTTTTTTGGTGGATTAACTTTGTCACATTGGCTTTTTTTAAGGTGGAGCTGCAAAGGTAGTGTTTCTACATTTTCAAAAGTCACATTTTTCCTGAGATTTGTTATATGTTGTACAGAAGGGCCTGCTTTCTGGTCTTCCTATGTGTTAATGATGATACACTGCAAATCTTCCTAGAATTGTAGCTTTTACGGCCCTCTTAACCCAGCCAAATGCAAAGGGAATTTTTTTGCCAAGAAAATAAACAAAAAACTTGTATCCAGGTTTCTGCTAGTACTACTCTCTAAACAGTGGTTAAGATGAGTCCTTGAATGATATAGAGTTTACTTGAGTTTGATTTGTGTTATGATCCCAGATCATTGAAATATGAAACCAGTCTGATCCCAGAATAAAGCCTCGCTTGATGGATCATAAGTATTTTTTCAGCTTGATTGTTGTGGTTGTTAGTCACTGAATGTATTTACAGGCAACTGCCAGTGTTCTTTACAAAAGAACATACGCAGCAATTGTGTGTAAGAAACTTTATTAATATTAAAGCAGTTTAGAAAAAAATCTTAACATCAGCAAAAGAAAGATTCAACCTTTTTTCTCCCAGCAATATCCTTTACTCAATCCTGGTGAACTATCTTCACTTCTTTACTTTATTGACTATTTCCAACTCTGAGGGCCAGGATTTCTTTTTAATTCTTACAGCCAAGAGACTGCTACAAACTCTCTCAACCTGGAGATTCTACAAACTATATACTTCCATTCTGGAGATTTCAATACAACTAAAAAAACACTGCCCTTCTTGATAGGCTGCAACTGTTATCCTGAACTGAGCTCAGAACTGAGCTCAAAACTGAGTGGCCCTGACTGTGTTTCTATAGGTCATGAGATTATCCATCATAACCACTTCATCAATTAATACCACAGCTATCTTGCTGGGCACTTGACTGAAAACATTTGTTTTCGTGCAAGTAGTGTAACTGATTCACTGGTCTAAATGACTTTCTGCCCTTTTTGTTTGAAAAGATTGCTTTCACAGAACTGAAACTAAAAATACCATTTGCTCTACTGGAAAGTCCAAATTGCCAAATGATAATGTATAATAAACCTTTATCACACCTCCACCCAAAGAAAAACATGAAAAGAGGCACCTCCTTTAGATGCATTTTTATTTTCTATCAGGATTTCTACCTATAATTATTCCAATATTATGTTGACAATAATAAAATTCCTTTCACCATTTCAAATACTCTGTTCTGACTATTCTCCCTGTCGTAGTGTCTCTTGAACATGTTAACATGATCATCTTTTTTCACTCCCCACATAATTCACACAATTGAGTTTTTTTAAATGTCATAAAGTCCAGTAAAAGTTTTAATGGTTGCCCAGACACCAGTAATGGTGTCAGACCTTTGTCCGAACAAACAAAAATATTGAGGTTTGGCCTTTTTAGCTGCTCTGGTTTTTGTTGTTTTGTTGAAATTTGACCTGTATAATATACTTTATGACAGCAGTCCAATTTTATATGTCTAGTATCTCCACTCAGTCATTTATTTAAAAGATGTACAAGTCCCTCTTGAATTCCTATTCTGCTAAGAGATCCACTTTATTATGATCCAAGCTGATGGTAATTCTGGTCAAGTCAGATTCCAGTGAATGTGAGGTAATTCATGATTCCAGTCCTGGTCCTCCCTTACTGCCTCACTAGCTTCCTCATCCAAAGGATTGTAAGCTGCCACTTCAATCACCTCCAGCGGAATGCCATGATCAGACACATTCTCCTCCCTTCCTTTGTCAGCATTCCACAGGGTCTGTTCCCTCTGCCACACTCTGGTCCACCCCTCCTTCATTCCCAACACCCCTCAACATTCCCATGGCACCTTCCCTTGCAATCACAGAAGATGTTACCTGCCCATTTACCTCCTCACTCTCCAAGGTCCCAGACATACCTTCAACGTGAAGCAGGGACTTACTTACAATTCATTCAATCTAGTCTACTGTATTCATTGCTCACAATGTGGTCTTCTGTACACTGGGGCGACGAAACAGACTGGATGACCACTTTACAGATCACTAGCATTAGGACTGTCAAAATAACCGTGAGTTTCCGGTTGCCTGCCACTTCAACAAGCTGTTGTGTTCCCACGTCTACATATTTCTCTCATAGGCTTGCTGAAGTGTTTCAGCAAGTCTCTTTCTCTCTCAGTTTTGAAATGGCTAACATCTTGAATTTGGCTTTTGATTTGCACTGGTGATGTTATTTATTAATCAATTACAACCTGTTGCATTTGTCTAACCTCCTTTATAAATGCAAATAGTTCAACTGCCGGGGGACATTTGGCACAATTCTGACCATTCCAGTCCTGCCTAGGTAGAGCATTACAAAGTATTTTGTTGCATGAATAATCATGGAGCTATACTTCTAAACTAGAAACCCTAATTAATCAAGTAACCTATAATAGAGAAGGGCAGGTGATATGCTGCAAACCAGCACGTAGGAGCTGGTGGACCCCATTGTGATATGTGGCTACCAGATCTGCAGTTATTGTAGCTTGAGGAACTTCAGCTCAGAGTTTGAGCTACGGTTGAGCTTTGGACCCTGTGATAGATCAAGCAAGAGTTCAGTTAGCTGGGTACTTTGTTCCACAAGCTAAATTAGGAAGCAGACCACAAAAGTAATCTCTTGAATTAACTGTCTGATCCAAAAGAAAGTTGGCATAGGATCAGAGAATTGAATGCTAAGTCCAAAGTTTGGTGTGGAAGAAATGCCTGCTGAACATTTTGAATACAGGAAAACAGCTACACATACGCAATGGGGAAACAGTGGTGGTTATGGGCCAGAGATTGAGAGTTCCAGTTGTGAAGTTAACTTTGACAGCTGATGGCTTGTGGATTGCCATCAGAAAAAATGATCATGGAAGATGCTGAATTTCTTTAAGATTCCTCACCTCACATCTAACTCCCAACCCAGACTTGAATTTTATCCCACTCCAGACAATACAGGTTGAGCGGTGAAGAGTGCAGCGCATTAATTGTTCATGGGAGTATACAATCTTTTAAACAAGTTTGGCTTTTTGCCAATTTCTACTGCTTCAATTTTTCGGCTGCTATAATTGGAGAAATTTAACTGTAGTTAGATATGCCTGTTCATGAGATCATTTAAGATTTCCCACGTTAGTCATTGAACAATTCACTATAAGAAATTAACTGAAGTTTGTGAATGACTTTTTAATCAAGTGAAAATAAAAATACTCTATTTTTAGCAAGATGGACTTCATGAAGGGTTTGAGATTTTTGTTCCAAGCATGTTTATCCATTGTGTTCAGCTGTGAAATAGAACATCTTCCAACTTTGGTGTCTATTGCTAATATCAAAATATTCTTGTCAAAAAAACACAGATGAAAAGCGACGAACCTCGGTTCTGCTCAGCAATGTGATTTAAATTCTGCTTCAGAACAGTAATCTAATTGTGTATTACTAGAGTCTCTCTACATATTTACTAATTTAAGCTCTAAAAATTGAATATGTTGTGAACAAGAGAATGTAATAAGATGGTTTTAAATTGTCTCTTTTGATTTTAATTCAAGGTCAAATGGTATAATAAAAAGGGATGATATGTCCAGCTGTTAGTTCTGCCTGGCAATAAGCCTTTGAGGCCTGGTTACCATGGGGACAGAGGCCAGGTCAATTGCAGTTGAAATGCAATAACACCTGGATACAAAAACAGAAAATTTAGTTTTTCCGTAGGTAGACTTACTTTACTCCGACTGCTCTTAGTCTGTAACTCCTGACAGACAGAGACACATGGACAATAGCTGCTGCAGTCAGCAGAAGGAAAAAGAATTTTTCTCTGTTAGCTACAAAACTGAATGCAAGTAGGGAGACTTCTAGTCAAAAAGATGGAATTCTTGAAGTTGAAGCACTCTGGAAGAAGTTGGGGAAGGAGTTGCTGGAGTAAGCCATGTACTAGATGTGTGTTTGGGATTTATCTCTCAGAAGATTCAGAGAATTGGCCTTAGGTCATAGGATGTTAAACTCGATAAAACAAATAGAAGTGAATCTTTTGGAAGTTGGGAGTAACTTTGGACTGGTTCCTTTAAAGATTGTAATTCTGTGGAGAATGCTGTCATGTATGAAAGTCGCAAAGGGTTTTCAAGTGTTAAAATGCAAGTACAGTATTCATTTTTGTGTATTATTTGCTTATTAAGTAGTGTTTAATCGCATCTATTTTAGCTTGTTTACTGCATTTAAAAATTTCAGTGTGAAATCTTGTCTTGTAATTCTTTGAGTCACCAGGGATTCAAGTGTCTTTGACAGTGTTTAATCTCACTAGGGATGGTAGCAAGTTAATTAATAATTGATAAAGCAAATGTCATAAAGCCATCAGCTTCCAAAAATATTGTTTAGGACTTGCTTGTTGATTTCTCCCCCCCCCCCCCCCCCCCCAAACTTCAAAATGTTCTCTCTCAGTCTGTTACACACTCTGCTCAGTGATGAGGGGGAAGATAATTGGTCTCAGTGGTATTTTGTAGCTTGTATAAAGTACAGAGCAAGGATGGGCTGACTCATATCCTCTGAATTAAAAAAATCTTTGTGTTAGAAAGGAATTGCAGTACTCCCCTTCTGCATCTGTGTTGTAACCCAGATCAAGGTCATGACCTGCTGTCAGGGAAATTACAGACATAAGCCTATTTAAAGTGGCTGTTGCTCTTGATGCAGTGTAGAGAGTTTGTGATTTGCAGGTGAAGATTAGTTTGAATGAACTTGCCCAACATTTGCTGTTTTTTTGACATTTCAACCTGTGCCCACTTTCTCCTCTCTCTTCCCTGATCTGAAAGCTATTTAATTTTACAGGAGGAACAAATTGCAGTTATACAAAACCTTGAATATAAAACATCCCAAGATGCTTAACAGGAGCATTATCAAACAAAAAGTTCTAAATATGAATGCATGGAGTGTAAGGAACAAATTAAAGGAGCTATAGGCACAAATTGAAA